TCTCTCTCTCTCTCTCTCTCTCTCTCTCTCTCTCTCTCTCTCTCTCTCTCTCTCTCGTTCCTTTTGTTTCTCGTCAATTGATGTAATAGTGAAAAGGTTTTTGCAATAAGTTTTTGTCTAATTTTAGGTAAAAACACAATTAAAGACGAAAAGTATTGCAAACTCTAAACAATGATTGGAAATCGACTTTCGTTTTCTTCCATTATATGCCTGTTATTCGTCTCATTAAGCAAACCATTGCATCCAAATAATTGGTCTTTTAGTCAATTATTTTTATTTAACACAAATTTAACCTATTTTTTCACTACTGATCAGTCGTTGCATTATTTCGTTTTCAATTAAAACTATGTGTGCGAGAGAGAGAGAGAGAGAGAGAGAGAGAGAGAGAGAGAGATGTGAATACAAAATATTTACAATGAAAACAGATATTGCAGTAATGTTTTAATGTCTATAATCCATTAAATTATGTTAAAATCAATACAAAACCTTTCGTTCAATATAGAAACACAACTGTTTCGTAATATTTAAACGGCTTAAAGTATTCTTACATAATATATACGTATATATTGTTAATTAGATTGTTTTTTGCTTTTGGTTCCAATTAACCAAAACTAAGCATATGATAAAAAAGCTCTCCCTCTCTCCAAAGCCTTTTAAGAGCTGTCTGTTTGTATACAGTCGACAACACAATTATGTTCTGACAATTTGAGATATTTTGATAAATCAATGAGAATATTTTCAGGACCATTCATATTTATAATTTACAAATTAATTTTTAAACAAAATGTCAATAAACTTATTAACAATTTCATTAAAAATCCATCTAATTGTATACAAATTTAATTAAAGTACTACGACCATTAATTTATATAGTTTACTCCCGTATATAATTTTTAAAATTAATTACTAATAGAGCATAGTTTAAAGAAATAACATGAAAATGCTGTATATATCTGTAATTGAGATTAACACATATTCATCGTGGTAACTTTATAAATTTCAATTTGAATGAATGGGTTAATTGTGTACACATAAGTACATTGTGTACACATATTTATAGCGCACACATTTTGCCGGCGACTGTATATTCAATTCGTTGAATAACAATATGTTTGAAGACTTAAGTCAATTAAAACATTGAGAGCTTCCCTTCAATCTCATCGTATGTATGGATATAAACACTCGACAAAACACACAATGGGTTTATATTTAATACCAATTGTTTCCCAATTTGTTTGAATCAGTATTTGATTTGTTTTTTAGTCGCAGAAATAATAATTGCTTTTATTTCCTATACGAAAACTACTGGCAAAACTAAACACACAATGGGTTTATATTTAATACCAATTGTTTCCCAATTTGTTTGAATCAGTATTTGATTTGTTTTTTAGTCGCAGAAATAATAATTGCTTTTATTTCCTATACGAAAACTACTGGCAAAACAGCAAACAGTTGTGTTATTAATTGAATTGTCACAAATAAATCACAACAAATTTTTTACTCTTTTTTATTTTCCTTATGCTTTCGATTAATAGGTTTTGAGAGAAAAACTTTTTGCGTGTTTTCTGTATTGTCTGTCTCTCCCTATGAAATCCGCTGCGGATTACATGTTTGCCATTTATGGCTTCGATAGTCAATCATTGAGATATAGTGACAGAGAGCGACAGAATGAGAGAGAGAGAGAGGGAGGGAGGGAGAGAGAGAGAGAGAGAGAGAGAGACTATGGGAAATACTTCAAACAAAACATAATGGTATTTTATGTAATTGGAAATATTAGGGCTTAATATCATATACAAATGCTATTTACATATCTATTAGTAGAATTAATAATTCTCAATTATTTTCCTAACCACAACTACAATAAAATTTATATACTAGTATATATATAATTACAAAGATATGTCTAGTCACCATGATCAACTTGTTGTGAAAATACCATTTATCAGAGCAAAAATCATAGCAAAAGACCAATATGTCTGGGAATTTATATCTGAGTTATCAAAACGTAAAGAATTTATTTATAACTTCCAATGCATTGATTATATCCCTGAGTATAGGCTTTATAGAGTATTATGAGATTTGATGTAAATTGTGTGCACTTTTTTGAGCCGCAAAAACAATCCTCTCGTCTCTTATTATTAATTTTTGGCTTAAATTTATTCACAAAAAATACAACAAACCCTTTATAAGTACTGTAGTTATGAGCCGACAAAAAAAAAGACAGTGAAAATCAATGAAAATTCTATTATATGTATTCGTACGGCAAGAATATAATACAGTATTAGTAGTGTGTATGCGGTATAACATCTCAGCGCTTAGTATTAGACAAATTTACATAAAATAAAACGAATAAATTCTTGAAAAAATCTCTCGTTTTCTTCTTTTTCATCTCTCTCTCTCTCTCTCTCTCTCTCTCTCTCTCTCTTTGAGATGTTATACCGCATACACACTACTAATACTGTATTATCTCTCTTTCTCTCTCTCTCTCATCCTATTTATAAATCAGTTTCTATGCATTTGTGAATATATTTTGCTATTTTATTATTTCTGTAAAAAAATGTTAAATGAGTTGAAAGCAAATCTACGAAATATTTAATCCTTTATTTTCAATGACTCTCTTATATAACGTTTGAATTTAACAAAAGAGATATATTCTGTTCACACGAATAAACACTCGATTTGTATCAGTGTTTTCAATAGTCCTTTCATATGAAAAGAGCATTTCATTTACTTTTTTTGGCCACAAATACTAAATATAAACTCCTATATATATAAAAGCATTAATTTTTGTGCTATAAATGTTTTCCACAATTTTAATGGACTTCAACGACAATGAAATGGGAGGAAAAGTGTTTGTGAAAAGAGTTAACAAAACAATTTGTAAACAGAATTGTGTTTAACATAGAGTAATATATTTGGATAAATATATTCTACAAACATATAAAAGATTTTGTGTTAAATGTATTTTTTAAAACTCAAATTCCGGGCGCAATATGTCATGAATTAGAGGGGAAATAGAAACTGAATTTTAATGAGAATTAATTTGAATATTATATTCAAAATCAAAACACTGTCAAAATGTGATTTACATTTATGCTTTTATTTATAAATTAAATTAAATTAAATATATCGTCGAATTTTGGGCTTTAAATTAAATACAAAATTTAATTTTGAAGTCTATTTATACATTCATAAGATGACAGAATTTCTTACTTTTTTTTAGTTATTTTGTTTTTTATTACTTTTACTACAATTTGAAGAATACAACACATGAGTGACGACTGGAATCGCGATTTGTTTTCTACTCGTTTTTCTAACAGAATATTCTGTTTATGTATTTAAATAACAACTCTTTGTTTGATATGTGAATCAAAATACATAACAATTGTGTTTCAGGCAATGTCTGGTCTGTCTTACAGTATTATATTCTTCCGGACGAATACATATAATAGAATTTTCATTGATTTTCA